ACAAGCAGAGTAGACACACAGGAGTTGTCACATCATTCTCAACAAGTTTATGTAGCAATAAATTTTACATTTATTTATATATATATATATATATATCTCCCTCATTTCCTACCGCTATCCACTGTCCTGTCCCTTAAAGGCAAAACAAAACAAACTATGTATATACATTATATATATATATATATAGATATCTGGTGGGCTTTCCTGCAGTCAGCATGCCAATTGCACACTCCCTCAAAATTTGCGACTTCTGTGGCATTGTGCTATGTGATGGAACTGCACATTTTCGTGCCTTTTATTGTGGCCAGCAGCACACCTGTACAATACCACTGTCTGATCAGCAGATATGCCACCCTGTGAGTGGATGGATTCTTGGCAAAGGAGAAGTGACAGATTTGTGGACAATTTGAGAGAAACAGCCTTTTGTGGTGTGTGTGTGTGTGTGTGTGGGTGTGTGTGTGTGTGTGTGTGTTTGTGTGTGATAAGCCCTATAAAATACAATGTATAGTTAATAATTATGTGGTTTCCAACCTTTTTGGCTTTTGACCCCTTTACAAAAAAAAATGTCCTCACATTGTAAGTAATTCCACCAAAGGACGTTTCTCCTCTAATTTCTCCAATGGGTTGAAATAAATAATTACTTTCTTTGGAGAGGGCTCAAACCCTAGGACAGGATATGATATGTATATAATATGTTATATTAAAGTGAAATGCTGCTTGTGCATTCACGCATCAGAATTAACAATGCAATAATGTCATATACAACCACATATATTATTCTGCAATACAAGTACTTTTACTAATCAAATTTTTAAAGTAGCCTACTATTTTAGTAAAGTAGTATAATTTGCTGATAATACCTACTTTTTAGTTATGTATGGTATTAGTTTGTAGTGAGACTGTGCTCTCTAGTGGCAATTTTGAAATGACCAGAAATTAAGATGATTCAAAAGTATCCAGCAGGTGGTGCCAGCCGACTGTTTAATAAATATGGTAGCCTTTGTAATACCAAGATGCCACATGTATACGTCTCTCTCTTTCTCTCTCTCTCTCTCTCTTACACAGACACACACACACTTTGTCCATTAACACATTTAATGACACTTGGTCCAATTTCACTTGGTCATTTATTTATCTCTAGAAGGAGACCACCTACCGTTCATCTGAATGTCTCATCTCGTTTGCTGTATTCAGTTCCTTCTCAGTCAGTCAGGCTCCAGGCTCAAACCATTACTCACACTCCATGTCTAGATTAAACTACTGTCAGGATCATTATATTACATCCGGCTGTGGCAATACCTCCCAATGGCATGCATGTGTGTTTGCATGTGCTTGTAATATATGAACGAGAGCGTTGGGATTTGTACTGGGATCATACTTCTGTTACATGTGGTAAATTTACTGTATTTACTATTCACTGAAGACGTGTCACACAACAAGGAATCTACAAGACAACAACTGCTAATAGATAAAGGAGCAATATGTGTGATATTGTTAGCTGGAGAATTATGGTGACATGAATTCATATACAAACAGGCCTGCATGCACACACATAAGCACCAGTTGTCATTATTACAAATACATTCAGGAAAATTACTGTATGACCACCTGGGAGAGCTTGCTGTAATTGTTTGCAGATTACACACACAGGGACACAAGTCCAGTAGAAGTCGAAGCAAGAATATGAACCGATGGGAAATAAGATTAAAATGCTTTTTTTTCACCCAATCATTGTTTTTTATTGTAAAACAGTAATGAAGTGCTTTTAGGCCTAAACCATTCAGATGATCAACCTGAGAAAAGTAGATATTACTTCTTTTTGAAAAGTCACAAACCAAAAGGGTTGGGATCTGCTGCCTTTGTCTCCAGCTCTAACCACCACATCACAACAACATGCCTAACCTCAACTAGTACCATAAAATCACGCCTTATTCATTTGCTGGCCAAACTCTCCACACTTTTCCATATCTGTCCTCACTGTCAATTTCTGAAAATGAACTGGTCCTCACAAAGGCAGAGTAATATGTGAGTACAAACGCACACAAAAACAGGAGGCAAGCCAATCACTCAAAAAAGGTCTAAATTGTCTAAATTGACTCCCACCACAACACTGCTTTATGCTGACCTGCAGTTCTCTGGCACTCATTTGGGAAACAAAGACAATTTCTCTAAACTTCTTAGGTTTGTTCAATCTGACTGCATCAAGAGACTCCAGGAATTGTTTTAAACAAAAAGAGACTTCCACAGCACATAACATCTTTCTCAGAGAGTGGGTTCCCTTTCCAAGGCCGGTGCAAACATATCCGGGTCTGGGTGAATTACCGATTCACTGTGCATGATCCATGACAGCAAAAATTCCCCAGGCTTGTGTATTATGTGTACACGTTTGTAGGCTATACCACATGCTGTTATACAACAAGCACTTCAGAAGCGATGTACTGTGCATTGGGAACTGTGTGCAGCTCAGTCTTTGTAACCTTGGCATCAATGGCACACCCCTCTCCCCCGAAAGCATTTCAGCGTGTTACAAAGCATGGTTCACCCACGGAAACACAGACACTTGAATGAAGTGCTCTCTCCTGCTAAAAGCTTTATTCTCTTTTCCTTTATATTTAGAATGTGTAGTGTGGAGCAAAAAAATGTACAACCATTATTGGATGCTGCTGTAGGTCACACAATCAGAGAGCAGGCTTCCAATTGTAATTCCATGGCTGGGCTTCTCTCTCATTAAAGGAGCAATGTGTGGGGGCGCACTACAAAAACAAGTAAACAGGACCTCCTACCCACACACCATTCATAAGGCTGTGTGCATGCATGTGTAGGCTGGTAAATGTGTGTGTGTGTGTGTGTGTGTGTGTGTGTGTGTGTGTGTGTGTGTGAGTTTATATCACAGAGGCCACCTACATACTTTCAAATACCAGAGGATAAACTCTGCTTTAATTTATGGCTCAGTAAAAAAGCCAGCATGACGTAGGTTTGACTCCATAATCGGCCACTTGATTTCAGAAAGGCAACAAATCATGAGGGCTGCCGTGGATGTCTGTGTTTCTTAGGGAGGAAGTGTCACATAATGCGGAGGGATCCAAATGGAAATCAAGTGATGATGTACATGCATGAGCACAGAAGACAAGTGCATTATACCCCTGCCCTGCACCTTACACAATCAGCCGAGGTGGAAGGCAACACAGTGCATTTACCAGTTTTGAGGAGAGGTAGCTGAGCTGGAGGAGGCTTTAGAATTTTGTTGGATTATATTTCATAGGAGATAATTCACGTTTGCTGCAGTGTTTATGTGATGGTTGTTATTACCAGTTTAAATAAAGGCAAAAATTGCTCAAAAGCCCACAAATGTACAACCTGCCTGTACAACCTTAAACATTGGTCTTACACAACCTCACCAAAAACCACATGCTTGTAACCAGGTTAGGTTAGGAAACATGAGTGTCAGTACCCTTGGATAAATGACAGTTAAAACGTGTATTGGCCCTCCCTAAATGATTGGAGTGGTCAGATGAAAACTGGTGTACAGAACAAAGCACTGATCAGCCATGTGTGCAGTGTTGCAGAGAATAATAATAATGATGATGACTGAGTGCACGAACCCCTGGAATGAAATTAATGTTTTGTGTAAAGCAGATAGCATCAGCTCTGCTCTCCACTGCTCTCAGCAGGACACCTCAGCATAAATTGGCCGGAGCAGTGCCACCCAACAAGCCCTTTCTAATATAACTACGTTGGCTGAGCCTCTTGGGGTGGAGGATTTAATGTGAAAGATAGAGAGAAAGAGGGAGGGAGAGGAATATGGGGATAAATTAAGATGAAAGTAAGGATCCCATTACGCCCACAGCGCCACAATGACATCACTGGGTGTAGAAAGAAGCGCAAGAAGGAGATGGGAGGCACCTCACTCATTAGATTGCGTCGTAATGTCCTGCTCACAAGTGAAGATGCAGCTGCGCCTCTGTGAGGAAGCCTGTGATGTGCGCCAGCGGAGCGGCTGAATCACGGCATCCCGGTGAACTTCTGAGAGACAGTAGAACCAAGAAACAAGTCCTGAGACGCACAGAAGCCGAAGAAACAGCGCGTTTTTACTGCATATCTGGCTTCTGGGCTGGAGAGCTTGAGGTGAACTTTGCGTTTTCTCTTGTTCGATTGACCGGGAACGCTGTCATCAGTCAGGCTATCCTGCGCGGGGATACACCAGGACCCTTTCGTTAGTAAATCACTGTAAATATTCACTTTATTACACTACATCTACATCATCCTGTGTTGGCTATTCAGATGAGACTGTCAGTTATACGCGCGTCTCCAAACGAGGACGCACGGAGAGCGCACAAGTGTCGAGATTATTTACTTTAATCTGCTCTCAGCGTCGCCTCGCTGTTGACGACCCTAAATTAGATTATTATACATGGAATCTTCCCATCTCCAAACAGTAATTAATCAAATGAGGAAAAAAGGATCGAACTTGGTGCTCTAAAGAAGTTGTGGCTGTTCCGGCTTTATTGTAACTCTGCCAAGGTTGATGCGCAGCAGACAGTGTCACAAAAAATACTTTTGTTTTTTGTGTAAGAAAGTGGCATGTCTTTTTAATTGAAAAGCACTGATCCGTGTCTTGACGCATTGCCCAGGACTGTTTTTTGTGCTTAAAATGGACTTGAAAGATCTGCCGTGGAGAATGCAAGGGAGCTAACATTTGGAAACAACACAGAGACAAAAAGAGAGCAACTGAGGTAAATATTATATAAATTGTTATTTATTATAATCACATATATTATTTAAACTGAACAGTATTTTATTGTGCACAAACATTGTATGATCATCTTATTAAAACCATTTACAATGAAATACATCCAATATATAAATTACATTCAGTGACCAAACATATTTTTAATCTATAAAGACTACTGGAAAGCTAATCCCAGCATGGCCTCAGTTCTGGACAGCGGCTGCTCCATGGAGCTGAACAGCTGGAACAGCAGTGTGAGCAGCTCTGGAGCCTCCATCCCCTGCAACCAGAGCATCCTGCAGCTCGCCCCTTACTCCCCTGAAGCCACAGCAGCCTTCGCCACTGCCATAACCTTGATGGTTGTCTTCACCATCGTGGGGAACATCATGGTCATCATCGCTGTCCTGACCAGCCGGTCCCTCCGAGGTCCACAGAATCTGTTCTTAGTATCACTGGCTGCTGCAGACATTTTAGTGGCCACACTCATCATCCCCTTCTCTCTGGCCAATGAGCTGCTTGGCTACTGGTACTTCAAGGCTACTTGGTGTGAGATCTACTTGGCACTGGATGTGCTGTTCTGCACCTCCTCCATTGTGCACCTATGCGCCATCTCTCTTGACCGCTACCTGTCAATTTCCAGGGTTACTTACGGGCGTCAGCGGACTCCCAAACGCATCAAAGCCGCTATTGTGGTGGTGTGGCTCATCTCTGCGGTCATCTCCTTCCCTCCCCTGCTCTCACTGAACAAAAGCGAGGCAGGGGACCTGGGGACTGAGAGAGGACCTCAATGCCAGCTAAATGATGAGCGCTGGTACATCCTTTACTCCACCATCGGCTCCTTCTTTGCTCCGTGTCTCATCATGATCCTAGTCTACATAAGAATTTACCAAATTGCCAAACAGAGAACACGTTGCCCACCAGGAGAGCCCAGGAAAGATGGGGTCGGCTGTGCAACACCGAGTCAGCCTTCTAGACATGCACAAGCCAACGGGAAGGATGATGAAGAAAGCACACCACCTTCATCGAACAAAACCTCCAGTGCCAGACCCCCCACCCTTGCCATCACCCCTTCTCCTTCCCTAGGAGAGTCTCAAACCTCCCAGAATCCCACCTCCAATAATCTCCTGCAACCTCCATGCCCTTCTCCAGCTATTACCCCTGTCACTACCTCCCTTGATAACTCTCCCCACGGCCCCTCAACCACCTCCTCTGTGCCTCAGTCTTCCCCTGCCAAGACTAAAAAGAAGGGGAAGAAAGGCAAGTTTCAGGGAGGGAAAAAAGCTGACAATAACAATGGCGACAGCTCAAGCACAGAGAGCGACATGGAGCACAGCCATGGAGGAGGCCGAGGCAGCACCAGCATGCCAGGGTCACCTGCAGGAGGGGGGATCCACTCCCCGGCCTCAGTCAAGCGCTATCGGGACATGATCGCCACTTCAAAGGGCGCTCGGCTGGTGCCAGGGAGAAAGTCTAAAACAGAGAGCAACCCTGGAGCAGCAAGGCGCAAAGCAATGGTAAACCGAGAGAAACGTTTCACCTTTGTTCTGGCAGTGGTCATCGGCGTCTTTGTGGTGTGCTGGTTCCCGTTCTTCTTCTCCTACTCTCTACAGGCAGTGTGCCCGGAGACATGTGCCATCCCAGATCCACTCTTTACATTTTTCTTCTGGATCGGTTACTGTAACTCCTCACTCAACCCAGTCATATACACCATCTTCAACAAAGACTTCAGAAAGGCCTTCAAAAAGATTCTGTGCAGAAGCACCAAGGGCACTTTCTTTTAATCCAGTGCATGGGACATGGACACAAAAAAATGCCATTTCTGAGGGCACAGAGAAAAAATAATTTTTTAGAACACTCAAAGGGCTGTTTTAAAAAAATATGTTGAACTGTGGAAATTCCAGCATAAAATTCAGAACTGAAAGCCACTGTTTTACAGCCACAGTGTGTGCAAACAGGAATCATGGACTGTGAAATCCTACTTTGCAGCTGATACACACATAAAGTATTATAGGGTGTGGGGTGAAAACAGGACATGGAATAAAGAGGCAATGCAAGAGACACGAAAAGTACCAGAGAGGTCTTGAAGAACACAGGAAAACAATTAACTCCTGAATAAGAACACAGACCGATTAATCTGTTAATATATCTTGTAGTTATTAAGAACTCAAAGACTAACAGGGAAGGAAAACAGGTAAAAATAAGAAAAAGTGACCTTAGATTCCTGACAGCCTAGGGCCCTTTATTTATCAATACAGAGCACATGGAGCACACAAGGTTAGTGGTGATTTCTTACGTCTGCAGTCTTATTTGCCCAGCTGCAGGGCAAACATGTGTTCCTCAATTTTTATCTAAAAGTGCAACAACAAGAGAAGGTTTCTGACAATTGCAATGTGATAACACAGACAATGGAGCCCTTTCAAACTTAACTTGTGGACTTTTATGTGGAAGGCCTTCATGTCAGACACCTTGCTCTTGGCTTAGTATGGATCACAATGGACACTCAGGTTGTTTGTAATGTCAAGCTTGGCTTTCACCTGTCATGAAATACAGACTAAGCTGAAGTGTGGTGGATTTTGGACAAAAGAAAACCCCATTGAAATGTAAAAGTAAGACAGTGCCCCCCCCCGCCGCCCATCCTCTTAGCTTGCTGTTTCCTGCTTTTTTAACTTAACCTGGACTATCACATCAGTGAACTGGACTGAGTAACCCCTCTAATGAACTGCCTCAATATTTGGACATTTAAGTAACAATACATTTTTTTGGAAAGAGGTTGTTCATAGTATTTAATGGGAGGTGCATCTGATGAAGACTGAAAAGGTTAGGTTATTACTATTTAACATGCGAACATTATTTTCCAGAAACCCTGCTTCACAATGAGCAGCAGTATTTAGCAGGTAGACATTTACATTGACTGTAAAGGACAGATGAACAATACAATTACGGATGTGTAATGTGACCCCTAATTACGCCTACATGGGTTATTCTGAGAACCATTTGGCTGAGTCACTCTTTACCAACGCCTCTGGCACATCATGGCCTGAAGTGGACCTCTTCGTGTCACATTTGGATTGTTGCTGAGAGGCGAGAGGATGAATGGTACATTTATTATTCTCACCAAGGGACTGCGCCTCTGTCAGTTTCCTCCACACACACAAAAAAAGAAAAAGTGTCTGTAACTGTGAACAGCACACAGGCTTATTGACTCAATGGGACAAGGGCTGTCAGCAGCAACACTTCAATTTACTAATCGTCTAATTCTGCTGACCTGTGTGAGTGTGTGTGTGTGTATATGCGTGTGCGCATTGACGTTAATGTTTTTTCTGTAGAACGTGTCAGTGCCTCCTCTGGCTGCTGCGACTTTAATATTGACGAGAGACCAGAGTTCCTGGTTCAGGCATCACTTGGCTATCTATCGGGTGAATGTTTCTACTTGATGGAAAGTAGTATATCACTGTGTCGAGAAAGACTTATTGAACTGAAAGTAAGTGTTCATCAGTGATATTGAGTACATGGCTTTTTAGTGGTCCCATCAAGGGAATAAAGAGCCTTATAGGACACCAGCCTGACTCAGTAATGCCTGGCTCTGTGTTGCTTTAATGAAGTATATCTTTACATTTGGTGAGGCAAAGGTTGAAACACTGTATTATTTATTTCTAACTATTTTGTGTTTTCTGTCTGTTACCTATTTATTGTTTAGTTACTGTGCTTTTATTCTGAAAGTTAAACAAAGTGGAGCTGATCAAAGAGTGCGAACACTATAAAGATTTTTAATATCTTCAATAAGAGCAAAATTGATTTTTGCCATCGAGCTCTTGCTTTGTGAGATTGGGGGGGGGGGGGGGTATTTGTGTTGAACTAAAGGTACATGAACTTTGAGTTATGTGCATCATGCAGAACATACAATGCAACATTTGTCATCCTTATTTCATATTAACTGGTTATAGTATGGTAAAATGCTCCATCAAAAATACAAGCACATTAATGGATGTACAATTTCTCAAACATACTGCAGCAGGAAAACCTCTCTTCAGCAGAGAGGTTTCTTTTTTTAATTTCAAACTTTTTATGAAAAAGTAATCGAACATGAAAATGTCAATATCACCCGAAGCCAGTTTCAGTTAGATGATTTGCAGACTTTGTGCCGGACACTAAGGCTACAATCCATACCACACAGAGCTGCTTGGAGATTCAAATAACTGATAAAATAAAATGGTTGAAAGTAAGAGCTCCCTGTTCCCTGTCCCCATCTGAAATGGTTATTTTCTCTCCAGAAATAAAAAACAGTTATAACCACGCAATCATAACAAAAATAGCCACAGAGGTCATGGATTCATGGCTGTTTCCAACAAATATGAGTTGTAATGCTCCTCAAATCCACCAACCATGGCTTTATGTGGTGAGACTGCTGCTTTGTTTATTTAAAAAAAGTATGACTTATGGCTTAAAGGCGACAGATGCAGTAGTCTGCCTCTTGATCGCCATCTTTTCCCCTGAAACCGCCTGTATTTTCTCTTCTCCTACTGTGTTTGGACAAAACTGCGTGGTCTGAGCTTTACCATCTTCTATCCCCCATCTGTCATCATCCCACTCCAGTTTGGAAATAAAGCTACTTGAAAAAGCACGAGTCACTGCCCGGTTCGTTTGTTTCATATATTTTCACATGATCATGAACATCAGAGATGAGAGAAAAGAGGAAACGATAATTTCCAAGAAGAGAATTACCAATAAATTGTTTCACAAATGAGAGTTTTAACAGAATGATGTTTTTCTACCATACATGTTGAACCAAAGGGCAATCTAAAGCAATTGCAGTCATTATGAAATAGCCCTGAATGGCACCACAACTTCAGGAAATAGTCCATAACATTGTGGGGCTGATGGCAGTTCAAGATGTCATTGGAAAATCTTATATCGCAGTGGGACATGAGAAGTAGGCCGCAGCAGAAGCAATATAATGTTGTCAACTGCCAACAAACACAGAGGAAGTCCATAAGGAATTAAACCATGTTGCCAGATATCACATATGCACATACACATACTCAATGTGTCGTCCTGCTCCAAGTGTAACATACTGTATTCAAGTCATGAAACATGTTCAACCCACACACAAATTTAGCCACACAAACACACACACGTACTTGTTGTGACAGCTTGTTATATTTGAGGTCAGCAGGCCTACAGTGAATTGTAATTGATTTATGCTAATTGGAAGTTTGGGGATTTCTCAGCCTCTCTGTCCTGCTTTTTCTGTCACACACACATTTCCACTCAGAGAAGCTACACCATGTCTCACCTTTACATCCTCACAGTTTTCATTTCCATATTCACGGCTGAGCTGTGGTTTAGGATGCACAAGGAGGTGAACAGATAACTTATCATAGCCAAGCCCAGGGAGCCGTGAGGTGTGTGTTTACAGCATTGTATATTCATACAGACACAGGATCCCAAAGCTCCTTGTTCTCTAACCTCAACTGGAATCTAAAGCAGGCCTGACCGGTGGCAATGGACCCACCGGAGAGAGGATGGTGAGAGACTAACACGATACAAACACCAGATAGTAGCTTTGAGAGAAAGAAAAATGCACACACAAGCTCCTAATAAGTGTACACAGAAGCAATGCAAACACATTCACACAAATACAGAAACACAGGCAGACACACATTAACTTTCATTTTTAAATGAATGATGGATGTAGCTTTCCACAGCATGAATATGTATGTGTTTGGAGGGCGTTCCAGTATTGAGCATTTTCCATTTCCAATCTCTCCCATGTTATAACGCCAGATAGATTTCTTTACTCTATAATTTGGCTGTGAAAACACCCAAGAGGCAGGATGAGAAATGAGAGACAGAAGACACCCAGGCTCTCTCCCTATTGAAGGTGGAGGCATTAAAATGCACTTTCGCTTTGTGAAATCTGTGATAAAAATGTCATTTTTTGGGGGCACAGGCAATTATGATTAGAATCACTTTAGAGTCTTCGGGTCATTTAACAGAGTGGCTCTTCTATCTTTGAGAGGACCAAATGGAGCTTTAGACCTTGACAACGAGAGGACAAAGACTTGGTTAAAGAGTTAGGCTCTGGGTCAGACATGTATTTGTTTACTGTTTATTTGGCTCTCTCCATTAGCTGTTACCATGGTAATATACACACAAAAAATACACAATTAACACAAGTTTACACTACACTACATAATACACTACACAAAGAAAATAATACATATTGAACCTTCCTGACTACATCAAGTGAAATCCCATGTAGGATGCCACTATGTCTTTTACTGATCATCTACACCAGTGACAGAGGTACAATATCACCATTGTGGCAAACACAGTGCATTACATTAATGTCAATGAGAATCCTCCAAAGCATAGAAGTACAGACATATGTGGTTGTGTGAGTTTGAATTAACCAGATTCAACAACACAATAAAAGTTCACTAATTGACGCACAAAAGATCAGCAAAAATAAAAGCCATGCAGTTTTCCAGCTGGAAGTGTGATGATTTTTAGAAAAATGTGCTTGCATGGCCTCATCATTGAATTAGGAATGAGCCTCATTTCTACTTTCCCTGTGGACACAATTACTTTCATGTTTTTCAAAGATATGAACCACATTATTGTGCCTCCTGGTGTTGGTAAAGAAAAGCACTGAGAGGCAAAATTGTCATTATTATCATGGGCGGCGTCATGCTCTCCTATAATAAGTATATTATTTCTTAGAAAAATCGAAGCCTAGCCAGAACTCTGATGAGAATCCAAATCAGAAGTGAATCATCTGATTGAAAAGTACACGCGCAGGCTATGAAATGGCAATAAAATCTGCAGCTGATGTGTTGGCGGATCAGCACACATTAGAAAAGACGACTTGCGCAGTTGTGTGCAACTTCCAAGCAAGGTTGCCAAATATGAAGAGGGGAGAAAGACGGCTGTGTCTTTATTTAGCTGGGTCATCATGGAAAGGTCACAAAGTTAATTTTGACACACAGACATGCACGTACATACCCTCACACATGCACACACATGCTAAGCCAAACATAAACACACACACACTAAATCAAAGCACACAAAGAGAAACAAACTCAAGCCTAAAATAGAGAAACAGATGACTAACACTTAACTGCATAAGCAGACACACTCTTATGAATGTCAGCTCACACACACACACCAACACACACACAAGTGCAGATAGCAAGAAACCAAAAAGAATAGAGCAAAGCTGATTTTTCCTGATCCTCAGATTTTTTGACACAGCTTGTCATTTTTTGCTGAAGCTCTACTGTATAATTCATTTATTGATCCACAGTAATCAGAGCAACATCAATCTTATCTCTGTCTCTGAACGTCTTTGGACCGTGAGTGTGTGGGTGTGTGTGTGTGTGTATGTGTGTGTGTGTGTGTGGCTGACTAAAAGTGCAAAAGAAAGGATTATGAGAATGCAATAGGAAGGAGGTTTGTTGACATACATACAGTATGTGTTTCCGTGTGTGTGTGTCACTCTTGGCACAAGAAGGAGAACAGGATGTACTGTTTGGATGTGAAAGTGTCATGTCCTTTCTGAGCTATACAGTAATACAGTAGTCTAAGTAATGGACCCAACACTTGTGGACAGTTTCCATTACAAATGTATCTTGTGTAAATAATCACAAGACAAATTTCAATCAATATAGTGGGGACATCCCACATCTTTGACGCTACGCTGCATTAATTTTTGTAAAATATTTGCTGATGTCTGCAGTCCGGGACTCCTTCCAGGTGCATGATTAACCATTTTAGTTTCAATGAAATGCTGAAAGTGTTGTGTGATTTTCACTTAAAATCACTTTCCATGGAAATTCATCAAAAGCACTTGAAAAGCACAAAAATGCTGCATAAGCATATTTTATGAAATACACACTAAGACCCTTCAATTTATAAACTTCAAGTGAACTTTGTCCAACTTGTAGAACAGAAATTACTTTGGCCGATATAGTTGAAACATGGTTCCTCTGTCCGATTAAATAAAATTATATTTGGAAGACCATTTATTTTAATGAGCAAAAGAAATTTTTCATAATCATGTCATCATATTTTTGAAGGAATACTTCAACATTTGGAATAACATTCGTATTCACTTTCTTGCCGAGAGTTAGATGGGAAAACTGATACACATACATATGAAGTTACAGCTGGCAGGCTAGCTAGGTTAGCTTAGTTTAGCATGAAAATTGCAAATAGAGAAAAATAGTTAGCCTGGAGCTGTAATAAAAGAAGCCCACCAGCACATCCAAAGCTCACCATACATACATATTATGTCTTGTTTGTTTAATCTGCAGTTTTATAGTGTTTTATGTGCTCTTGGCCGGGACTAATGACTTACCCTGTAAAAACAAAAATTGTTGTCATCTAACTAACTGTCTCCTGGCTCCACCTTCATATTTAGTGTGCAGGACTGACAGTGGTTTCAATCATCTCATCTAACTGTTGGCAAGAAAGTAAATAAGCATGTTTCCCAAAATGTTCTAATATACCTTTAAACAAAAACTAATGGGGTTTAAATATTAATTCCTCCCAGCTGTTTGTTTGATTGTTCTGGAGAGCTCAGGAGTGACAGGAAGCTGCTGTAGCTCAGCGGGGACAGGAAACCGCTCTTGCTCAGGAGCAGGGAGTCGCTGCAGATCAGGGACCGATGGCTGCTACAGGTCCGGCTCGGGGAATTGTTGTAGCCCAGGAACTGGAGTCATTTGCAGCTCTGATGAAATGGGGAATTGCTTCAGCTCCACAGGGACTGGGGGTCACTGCAGCTCAACAGAGTCAGGGATCTGCCAATAACGATAGCATAAATTAATTGCCCTTTTGCAGAAGCCCAACTTCAACGGATTAAAATTCCCTCAAAGCTTGTCTGGATAGTTTTTTTGCATAAATATAGTGCAGCTGTAAACCCACATATTATACTGTAAATACAGTAACTTTCTGATTGTGGGTGTCTGCGCAAAGAAAATTTAATTACAATACCATTTTATAAATGAGGCCACTGACCTTAGTTTCCTGGCACCATCCCACAGTTTCTTCCCTTGGCTTTGAAGCCCTAACAGTGACTGATTTCAGTGGTTGGCCTCCCATTATTAGTGTGGATGAAGGGCTCCATGTGACTAACAGGAGGAGAGCATCAGCACAGCAAAGAGAAAGAGGCATTTATTTCTTATCACAGTCTTAACACTCAATCCTTGTTCAGGTTTTTGTATCAAGAATCTCTCTTAGGGTTTCAAAGCTTTTCACAGTATTTTTTTTATCAATATGTCTTTTAGCCCACTTTGAAGAATGAGGCCAGCAGACAAAGATAGTACAAACTCTGGACTCTTTTGCTCTTTCTGGAATCTATTCTGATGATATTCAAAGGTCACATATGTTGTCTTCTCTACTCATAAAGCATTCAACACATACATTCATTTATTTTGGCTTGGTTACATTTTTACTTTTTTTTTTTTTCACAGCATTGAGTGTTATATTATTGTATTTTTAATTATTCCACATTGTCTGAAAAAGTTTATGACATGGAGGGAAGATGACGTAGCTCCATTCTGCAGGCATTTGTAGCAGCATTCTGTGTTGATGCTTGGGTATTTCTGATATGTATCACTA